AGGCAGGGCTGGAGCAGCAGAGCCCAGCCTGGGGAGCTGCCCTGCAGGAGCCCAGCTCTCCTCCCTGCCTGCCTGGACAGCCCCTGCCTTCTCTATTACAGCAGGAAATGTTTCCAAATCTGAACAATGCAGCAGATCTGAGGGCAGACAGCTCAGATAATGAAAAGAAAAAAAGAACTATTACTTGGAAATGATTGTTGCTTTGTCACTTTCCCTTAATTTCCTCAGTAACTGGTAGAAACCGTTCCTTAGCAAATATTTAGGAAATAACATCCATAATACCATTTCCCTGCCTCAGTCTTAGCTATTGTTTCCATCCTTTTACTTTTGATGACAGGTGAGTTTCAATTGTAGTCCTTTTTATGAATACTCAGTGTATAAATTATGCAGATTAAAGTCTCTAATTTCAGAGTAAATTTCAGAGATTCTTTTCTTCTTGTGGTGCATAACAACTGCATAACATTTTTATTTAGTTCTTCAAAGGCTTTATGATCAAAATTTCTTTTAAATAATGCTAATTAAGTCTCTACATTCACTTATGAAAGCAGAAGATGAAATAATTAAATAAAAAGGTTTAATCTTCAGTTAATTTGTTAGATTCAGGTAAATAATACTGATGTTCATACTGTAAAATGTAATTTGGAAGAAAAACCAATTTTTGTTGTTCTTAACTGAGTATGGTCCATGGCTGGAACCAACTGACCATCAGTCACATCTTCACCTGGTGCAAATATTTTTGAAGTTAATGCAGCAAAAGCAAAGTACATCAACAAAGAACTAAAGTACTACCAAGGCTCTGACTCTGAAAACCACCAAATCTTTGTTAATCAAGAGTGAAATAAGGGAGTTTCATGGAGGGGACAAGGATTCAGCTGTTTGGATTTTAAGGCTTACAGCTCAAGGTTTAGCAGCAATTTCCTGCATGGCCATTTCCATTTTAAACCTTTCTATCTCTTTCATTGCAATACAATGAAGAGAACTTTCCTCATACCACAAATGATAAGGGAGTTTCATGGAGGGGACAAGGATTCAGCTGTTTGGATTTTAAGGCTTAAAGCTCAAGGTTTAGCAGTAACTTCCTGCACGGCCATTTTCATTTTTAAACCTTTCTATCTCTTTCACTGCAATACAATTAAGAGAACTTTCCTCATACTACAAAATAAAATTTTGGCTATCAAATAAACTTCTTGTCAGACATTGTTATGGAAGGGACCTCTCAAAGCCACCAACTCTAATAGCAGAACTTCCCTGTCGTTCATAGACCAGTTCTCAGTGGTTATTCATCTATGGACAGTGAGGCAGTCGGACCAGGAGCAGCAGAACACGGCTCTGGAGCAGGGCTCTGCCTGTGCCTGGTGCCTCAGTAAGGATGCAAACTCAAGTATTTGTGTGCCTGGTTCAATCTGGCACAGAGATCTGAACAGCAGGCTCTGTATTTCTTGCATGAGCTGCCTGACTACTGTGCTGCTGGACACCAGTGCAGGCCAAGGCCTCATTTCATTTCAGCACTGTAAAAATCAGTATTTTAACTCCTACAAAAGGACTCAGGCTTTGAAATTTGGTGCCTTACAGTGGCACACAATTTATTGGAATATTCCCAGTTAACCTGACCTGCATGTTTTGCTATTAAAGCCCAAAAAGTTAATATGGCACCAAACCAGAGGAATACAAATCTTTCTTGAAAATCATGCACAGCTTCCTTTTGTGTTGGATCACAATAATACTGCAGAAAGTCGGTCACAGCCTTACCCTGTTAGGTTTGGATTGCTGTACATCACAAGCCTATTCACAAGCACCTGACAAATCTCTCTCATTAATAACAAATGACACCCTCACTGGTGCTACAATGCATGTTACATTTAATCAATTTGCTATTTATATTCATTATGTACACCTCCTATTTTGAGTCATGAAAAATTGAAAAGTAATTACAACATGGAAGAGCATCATGGATAACAAATGAGACAAGATGAGAAAAAGTACTAATAATTGGTCAGTTGTGCTTGTCAGTACATTTAAAGCAATTAAGGCAGGAAATGAGATAAGACAATTGCAAGCCTTTGAAGTGAAACAGAGCATCAGGGAAACCAATGGTATGGTACCCTGGTTATGACAAAAATGCAACCATCTAAATACAGGCTTTAAAGAATTGTTTAACTACAGCTGTTGCTTAAAGAAGTCAAAGTAACTTCCTGAGTGAACTGCAATTTTAATGTCTGGTAGCATGATTCTGCTCTAAGTCTGCCTGTCACCATGTCCAATATAGCCCCCACTGTAGCCAGGGGCAGCTAACTCATCTTTTCCACATTTCAATGGCCTCAAAGAAGGCAAACAAATTAATGACTCAGATGTCTATTTCTGCACTAAAAATAGGAAGACACATTAAACTGTTTACAATCAAGAGAATACTAATAAAGAGAGTACCAAGATGCTGAAAAACTTTCAATTGCATTTTCTTGTGAGCCTTATAAAATGGAAGGGGGAGAAACCATGTCTCTCTGAGAGAGAATAAGCTGCTGCTGCTTTGCACCTTGGAAAGATGTTGAGAAGTGGAACAGCCGCAGTATCTGATTTAATGAACAGCTGCTGAGTTCCTAAGGCTTTTACCAAGCCTATTAGTTTGCATTCCCTCTTTTGCTGGAATACATAAACACATAAGATCAAAGGTCCACTTTAAGAGAAAAATGTGCCTAATTTATTTTTGATCAGAATTTTGAGGAACTTATGTGTCTACAGCTGACACAGCAGTCCTGGGAAGCCCTCTGTCCCTCTGGGTCCCAGAGTCCCAGTGCCAGGCAGGACCAAACTGAGCAGAGTGCTACACCTGGGGCCAGCCTGTGCATGCAGCAAGCACCCCACTGTGATAATAAACACACTGGATTTGGCTCCTTAATAATGCTAATGTGGACTCTACCTCGAATTAAAATCTCTAGCACCTGAGACAGTACTCAGAAGAGTGGTCTGTAGTGGGCTGGTCACAGGCAGTACTCAGTGTCTGCATGGCAGATCTTCAGAAACAAGAAAAAGGAATTAAAACTGATACATCAAGTTTTTAATAACTACATTTTTTCTTCAGAATTAAAATTCTGTTTTAGGTGAGGCAGAGGTCAGAGGTTCCTGCTATGCAGAGTGACAGGTATAAACACCATTTCTGCTTAGAAGGGTAGCTTTAATGCTTAATTCAAACAGAAAATAGAGTAAAGACATAACAACAGAAAAAGACATGGCTGACAATCACTTTCTTGAGAGAGCTATAGTGACAAGGGAGGGCAAAAGTGCTGAGGAAGGTGATGACTGTATTGCTGTGACATCTGGAAAGTAGAGTTTGGTCATAAAAAACTGTTCAGCATTAGCAATTATAGTAGCTTTTCTTTGACATTGCCCCTGAAGTTTAGAGGGAATATCATTGATTTCATAATGAAAGCTATTCATTTTGCAAAGGTTTATTGTAAAATGTCACGAGGAAAGGCATCCTCAAGACACTAAGAAATATAATGAAAAACCTGCAAAAAGGTGTAAAGAATTCCAAATCACTGCATTGTCTAGATATTAATGTGAGTAGGTACTAAATGCACTGGCTGATTATTGCTTCGTTCCTCTTAAGGAAAGAGAATTAATAAAACAATACTTAAAGAAATGCAGATGTGAATAAAACCTGTACTAGCAGCACAGTGATTACATGGGAAAGAAGACTCAGTAAAGCTAATGGGCTTTCTCAGGTAAGATTTGATGTAAAAATTGAGGGATAAAGCTATTCAATGAAGCCACGTGAAGTCTTCATTACCTTCAAGTAAAACATCTTTTATCACCTAAATCCCTTTCCTGCTCTGTGTGTGTATAGAGTCTATTCCCCACCAGCAGTGGGGTGCAAAAATTCTCAGCTTTAAATCATTCTAGAAAAGAGTCTCAGCTTTTCGGAGAGCTTTTTTAAACTGCCTGTTCAAAAGGATTGCAACTGTTTATTTGTCACCACCCTGTAGTCAACAAAAATGATAGGTTTTTGTGGAAATGTATGAGCTTTTTGAAGAAGAGACTGTGCATTTATGTCTACTCTGAAGGAAGACAAGGATGTTTGTGTGCTGGATACAGGGGTTTGTAAATAAGGTTCCAGACAGTTTATTGGTCTAAGCAAAGGAGCAAAGGCAAAGCTAAAGAGAGAAAGTGATATACAGGACAGGATTTTCTAGACTGGTGTGAAGTTCAAATGGAAAGAGAAGAGGTTTTTTGTGTTTTATAGGACATGTCCCCACCAGCCTCAGCACAATAAAATGTGCTGGCTCCCAGCATTTCACAGCATTTGCTGGGCCAGCAAGACCTCGAGCTGTGCTCTGTGTGTCCAGCTGCTGCATCCATGCAGACCCTGCCAGGCTCTGCAGGCACAGAGGCCCAGAGCTTCGAGGGCTGGGACTGAAGTTGGTATATTTTATATGCAAACACACAACAGATATTCCAGGTACTACAAATATTAGGTGATGTAATTATGTAACTTAGGACCATGCACCCAGACTGCTAGATTTATTAATATATTGTAGGTTTTGGTTTTATATTGAAGAAAATTTATATATCAAGCACTCTGAATAGTGGTATGTACTCAACTGCTATTGACTCCCAGCTAGTTGGAAGTAATTATATGATTTCTCAATAAGCATCAGAAGTCAGCCATAAAGTTCAATTATTTTGACATAAGAGATCAATAACAGGAATCTGAAGCAATTATAGGCCCATGATTCAGAAACTGCTTGACTAAAAATGATCACATGGTGACTCAGTCCCTGACAGCTGCTCCAAGTTCAGTCAGTGGTGTGGTTCTTCACATCAAAGCACATGTAATCAATGCTTTATGCTACTAACATAAGCTGTTATTATTTTGTATTTCCAGAGCACACCCCACACCATGGACTGCATCCTGGGCTGAGCACATCCTTTCCCAGGGTAATTCTGAATGTGATATTGAAATCTGTCATCATTGATATCTGTGAAAGGCAAAAGAGGTAACTGTGTACATTCACTTCTTTTAAATCAGCATGATTGTGCTGTCTTACTTTAAATATTAATCAAACTTCTGAGTCAACAGATTTCATCACTGGAGCAAACAGAGCACCCTTTAAGTTTCCTGGACAGATGCCTATGAAGAAAGCAGAGCTTTATTTAGAAACAAGCAGAAAGACTGTGTAGACAAACACTTGAGCAGCATAGCCTACAAGAAAAATACCTTATGTCTTTTAAATGTTGTGTGTAATTCTGTTTTATATCCTTAAGGACTATAAATGAAATTGTTGGTTTTACACTAGTGTCATCACAATAGCAGTATGGCCTTAATTAGTCATCATAAAAGCACAGCTCATTTTCAAGTGTGGGCTCATTAACCGGACAGAAAGATCAAACTTCTTCAGACTGTGCCTGAAACAGTGGGGCTGTGTGCTGGTTGTGCTGTGGGGATTTCTCAAATTAGAGCTTTGCTCTGCTGTTTTCCCAAAGGCTGCTCCTGTAAGCACACACGCTCCTGCCCATGTGGACGTGCAAGGTCACTGCAGCAGCTCCTTGTTTCTCTGGAGCCCTCCTTGAGCAACCGTGCTGGGAAACTCCCAGGCTCGTTAAAGTGTGCCAGCAACCCAAGCAGCCAGCCAGCTCCTCAAAGGGATCTCACAGGCTTGGCACTACTCGAGTCCTTTGTCCAGGGACAGAACATTTGTTTCCTGAAACTGGAGCAACCAGCGTAACTCCACAGCCAAACCAGGTCTCAGTGCCTGGACTCCTTCCTGGCACCTCTGCCGCCTCTTCCCAAGCCAAGGCTCATCTGCTCCCTGCAGGAGCCATTCCAAAACGAAACTCCTTTCTGGCCCTGCCCCAAAGAACCACTCACTCACAAACTTCCTCTGACCACTGGGGCAAAATAAGGCAGCAGAAATGAGACTTGGACCACCTCTGTTAAAAGGAGGCAATGCCTCCTGCCACTTGACACCAGTATGCAGGTTCAGTGCTATTCTGTGTTTTCTGCTGTGGTGTTTGCTGTTTCATAAATATTCATATGTATATTTTATTTGGGAGTTTGTTGTATATTTCATTTGGGCGGGGGGGTGTTGCTAATTTGTACAATTTGAGGTGAAGTCCCTTTGTTTTTTCTTTCTTGGGATCTGTGGAAGGCAGCAGTGTTATTCTGTTTGTATGAGCACCAAAATCCATCCTTTGAGAGACAACTAATTAGTCACAGGCAGATTTAAGTCTTGTTCCTTAAGGAAGGAGGCAATGTCAGGGCAGAACCTGTCACCTTTGCCTGACCAACCTGAAGGGAAGAAGACTGTTACCACATCGACCAATCCAATTGTGTGACAGGGAAAGGATGCTGACTTATCTAGGGTGAAAATGCAATAAACTAAAAATATTCAAAGAGAAATCTTCTCCAAGCAGCGCTAACATTTTCAGACAGCTCTTCCTTCCAGTGCCACAAATAAAAGAGAGTATCAGCAACTAAGTGATGGGCAGTTATTTAATGAGTTAATCTCATTAGGATATTTTAACTCCCAGAAGAGACTCAACCCATTAGCTACATAAGAGCTTGGAATAAAAGCCTTTCAAAAGGACTGTAAAAACGTGTTAAAACGTGGTTAATACACTGTGGAGTTAACCAGGCTGTCTGGCAGGAGGAAGAGCAAGAGATTATTGCTGGTGAGCTCCTCTGTAAACCCCACAGCCACCCCCTGAGCCCACCAAGTAACATCACTAACAATTTTGATTCTTATTTCTAAGGTTAATTTTGCTATTCTGTACAATTCCAGCTTGCTTGCCAATTATGAATCCTATAGTTTTACCTAATGTGGATAGGCAAATCTGGACTAGTCATACTTTGTATACAAAACAAACACCATCACCTCCCATAAATAGTTTTAAGTTACTTAACCTTACATTCTCCATAGCAATGGAATCTCTTCTAACCCTTTCTCTTTTTTAAGCAGAATTTAATTAAAATAAATGCAGACTGTGATTAACTGCACTAAAAACAACAGCAGTCTCATCTAGAACAGCATCTTGTCATTACTTTGATTTCAGTGGGACACCTTAGCTTTCACAATTGTACCTTTGCAGTTTACATTCTATAACTGGTTCTGCTCTTATATTTACTTATATTACCTTCAGTAGAATTATTCACATTGCTAAAGTGAGCAGTATTTGACCCTATAACATGAAATGAAAGGCATTAATAGCAGAACCTAGAGAATATCTTCCAGAAATAATTAAAACTCAGGAAATTTTTCATCTATCATCATTGAAAATGTTCATTTTTCCATCACATTGAAATGTGGATACCTAATGCCTGATTATCCAAATCTGCTCCACAAAAGCAGTCAAGAAATTTCTACCATATAATTGCTAATGCTAATTGCATTTAGTCTATGATTTCAAAAGCAGTAATATGAAAGGTTCTGACTGTTTATAGTATTGTAAAATGTAACTGGTAAGTAATGCATTTTCAAGAGTTTGGGGAACATTATTAAGGTTCATTTCCATGCTGCAGCTGCAGGAGTTGGAATTATGAAAGTGAAGAAGCTGTAAAATTGAAAAGGTCAGTAATGACATTCATCTATTCCAGCTGTCAAATCAAGGGAATGTTAACAAAACTAGTCTCTGGTAGAAAAGCTAATTGTCTCCTTGTATTTTGGCTGCCCCAATACACATACTCTACTGTGGCTAATCCATAGGAAAGAACACAATGGAACAGTGTATCATTTTTTGAACAGGCCTCTTGTAAACAAATAAGCCTAATTTCCCTAAATGAGCAAGCTCTAATGATTCTATAACCTAAATTTGTCAACAAGGCAGCCAAAATTTTCAAGTTTAAAGAAAACAGTATGTGAATAAAGTTCATATAGTCCTGGAAGCTGAGTTTCCAGAGTGCTCAGAGTACAGCGCAAATTTTAAATTTTGCACTAATGCAGTCCTGAAAGAAGCATTTCTAAAATGTCTCCTACCAAGGCATGTTTTATTATAACAACACATAGAAAAGTTTCTTTCACAGATCAAATATTTTCTGGATGACCTGGATTCAATGATCCCAGTGAGAAGGACCTTGTCTTCGACAGCCCTTTCCCATGAGGTGACACAGTACAAATGGAACACACCTAAACACAAATCACCAGTGGACACTGAGTCTAAGACCTTACTTATTGAAAGACAGGCCCCTGCCATGGGCAGCAAGAGCCCTCATCAGGAAACAGTGAGAGCCTTGTGCTTTCTATGATGCACCAAATCCTGCCTTATTGCGAGAACAACATTCCTCAGCAGCTGAGGCCAAAGGAAGGGGCCCCAGATCTATGGCATGCCACTCATTCAAGGGAATCCTGTGATTAATCTACACAATTTTATTGCAAGCCCCTCTGGCTATTTTCTATTGCTGTCTGGTTTTGTATTTTCACCCCACATGCTGCAGCTGTTAGCAGAGGTTTGTGCTACAACTGGAACAGCCTCACGTAGCCAACACTGTGTGAGGACATTATATACACCAGATACACCACTCAGACTTTGATTTGACCTGTTTTGTGTAGTACAAATGTGACAGAAACTAGCCAACTTGATCAATGACAACATAATATGAGTATGTATCAACAACATATGATCAGTATGTATCTTTCTGGGTAACGTGTTAAAAATCTTTCTGTTATCTGTCTCCTTTCCTGTGCAGAAGTGTTGCAAAAGCCAGAAACAATACTGGCAATTCATGAAATATTCAGGTGTACAGTTGCAATTCTTTAATAAATGGAAGTGACCTTCAAAACAGACATCCCAAAGATTAAGAGAACTTCTCAAAAGATGGCATTTGTCACTAATCAATGACTTACACTCTTCCTAGCAATGAATACAAAAAAAGACCTTTCAGAATTATTCTACTTTAAAAGCAAATAATTCATAAAACCTACACAAGAGAACATTAATGAGCTAGCAAACAACAGATAGAAAACATCAAACAAGGAAATTGAAAGGATAAATCCCCTGTGCCTATCAGTTTCCATGTCTGGATTGCTGGGAAGCCACTGGCACATCCATCTGCTGTTTCCAGGCCCTGGGTGATGCTGCCTGCACTAACCACATATCTTTTATTATGATATTGTACATCAAAATATTTATAACGTTTTACAAATGGATTTCCTTTGTCACAGTCACACAGGTGTCTTGGCTCTAACTGGGTCACTGTATGGGAACAGATGTAATCTCAGCAGAATACAGTGGGAAATCTGGGCTACGTTAATGACTGATCCAATTACAGTGGAAATCTCTAGAAAACCCAGATTTATTAAGAACCTGGAGATAATTACAATGTACTTCTAGGGATGACCAGATGGACAAGCCAGTCTCAAACACTTTAGGGGCAGTGGAGCTGAACAGGAGGCGCCTATGCCATTGCCTACGTGGCTGGAGAAATTCCCATTGTGAGGATATGGTGAAAAAGCTGGGGGCTCACTGCAGCCACCTGCAGACTGAGTCCAAACACCTCCTAGGCCAGCAGCAAGGCTCACCTGCTGCTCTGAGGACAGAGGAAAAGCTTTCCAGGAAAGAATATAGCAGGAATGAAGAAACCCCAGGCAGCTTTTTGTCCAAGGAGATTATTTACTCAAAAGAGCTCCTCATGATTTAATATCAGGGCCTCTTGACAAGCTACATTTTCTCTCCTGAGTTGGAAATAAATGCCATCTCCCAGGCAGCAATCTGATCTCACACTTAAACAAGCCCAAGCATCTTCCACACAATTGCACCCAAGAAAAGAGACTGAAACACACTTGAGAAATCTGAGTATAAACATCTCTTTTTACCAATGCAAAAGTAGATAAAATTTCAGAGCAACCTCTGTGGTTTTTATAACATGCTTCATCACAGGGGCCTGCCCTTGTCTCTAGTAAAACTGCATCTGTGAGTAGTCCCATTAAGGTAATTTGGATCTAAGAGGATGTCTGACTTTTAGTATTTGGTTAATTAGGAACTTTGCTGACTCAAGATCTTTTCTTTTTCAGCTAAATATTTTATCTAAGAAGATAAATTGAGTACTAGAAGATAATATTTCTTATTTCTAGTACTTCCTGCCAGCTTCAAACTAGTAAATATTTACATTTCAGTCACTGATAGCTAATGTGACCTTTCTGTTGCACACTACACCCATGCTGTATTTTCCTCTCACTATTAACATTCTTTCCAGTCCATCTTTCATTAACAAGCAGTATTTAAATATATGCAAATTTCCTATTTTAGCTGATGTTTTAGGAACATTTTTAAGGTCACCTTGTTTGATCTATCACACAGACATAGCAAATTTATGCACCATATATCCTATCTCTACTTGTTTTTTACCTACATCTGTCTTCTCTGATTGCATTTGAATGGGGTTATTTTCTATTTTAAATAAAAGATTTATGCCTTAGCTGTCAGTTTGCCTTTATTTGAAAATTTAATTTTGTTTCTAGAAGTCTAGATTAAGTTATTAGATTTAACTGTCCCTTGTGCGTTGCAGCAATAGCAGAAGTATATTTTCCCTGGTGGATAGAGAACATAAACAAAATGCTCTCAACTTAAAAATAAAGAATGTTATTACTAAGACCAATATAACACAGTCCAGGATACAAAAACTGGTGGTGTCATTTTTAATAATGATGGTGAGGAATGGGAATTGACTAATAAATATGACAAATCACAAATCCAGCAGCCTCCAAAGCCTGGAAAATGCTTTGCAGAAAAGGCATGTTCCCCCAAAATGTCCCCTACACTTAGGCTAGTGAATATCCTTTTGTACCACAGCACCACTGGGACACACGACTTGATCCCTGATACTGAAGGGTTTATTTAAATGAGGCAGAAATGAGAATCAGCACCACTGTTTCCAGTTAGTCAGAGGGCTATTTATTGATCCAGTGTGGTGTATCACATCTTCAGTGTGACACCTTCTTTAGCATCTCTCAGCAGTGCTACATTGGTTATATTTTCTCTCAAGCCCTGGAGTTTTAGGGCTTTGCTAAAGCAATGACCATGTCATTGCAGCTGCAGCCTGTGGTTGCTGCCTTGAAATAACCAAACCAGCCAAGTTCTCTGGGGCAGAGCAGGGGTGGTGTTTGGGGGAGTGTGATCTTATCAAATGTGTTCACATGTTTTCAATCTTTTTCTCCATTTTTCATTTCTAGAAGTACCTGGGTTTCTTATCAGTTCTGTTATCTTCTCTTCACATGGTAACATCCACACAGACCCAGTCAGAATCTGGCCTTAATCAACCTCTGCACCTCTTTTAAACACTCAGACCCTAGATCTTGTGATTTTGCGCTCTCAACAATGCGCAGTGTGAACAGACAAAACAAAGAGGTGAAGGATAAATATTTACCTGGCTATGTTAGTAAATCTTCAGTCACAAAGGGGAAACCTTGTCCTGATTCCCTTTGTTAAATACTGAATATCATGAAAACAGATCTTTGGAGGAGAAAGGAGGAATTCCATGTACAAAGAAAACAAGTGCATGCACATGATGCCTTCTGTCACAAAGTATCAGCTAAGGGTTGAAAGGCACACATGACTACAAGGTGCCTCTCTCTCCCAGTTCAGGACAACACAGCAGCTATTTAATATAAGCAGTGATGAAGAACAGTGTGGCCACCTCCTGTTGAGGGAGGCAAGACAGGGCAAAGCTGAACCTCTTTGGAAACCTTCAGTCAATGCACCTGTATTGCAGGGCTATCAAATGCAAGCAATCCCAGCAGCAACTAGTCAATCTTGACATCAGCCCAGTAAAAATTAAGTGAAAATACCACAAGGCACTATGTCCAGGCAGACAGCACCACCAATATGAAAGTGGAACCTTCCTAAGGATTTTCTTAGAAAACCTTGTCAGCTCAGAAAAACTCTGATACATATTCTAGACACAGTAAGAACATGAGCCTCCTGCTGCCACATCCTGGTAAAGAATTCACACAACCTGTATGACAACACTGTGGCACAGGATGACCCTCCAGGCTCACACTCACCTGCTCTCTTGGTAGCAGGTCCCTTTGCTAGGAGCATGAGCCTACTGCTTCTGCTCTGATAGCAAAAATTCACCAAGGATGTGTTACTTTAACCCTTATGTCACTGACCTTCCAAAACATCACACAAGAAGAAAGTAAAGGCTAAGACCTGCAAGGAAGTAAACTCTGCACTACACACTAAGTAGAATACATTATCATGACAATTACTTTGTTACAGAAAGCACCTTCAAATGCCAAATAAATTGCACAAATCACTGCACTAACGCAGCTGAAAAGACTGCTCCTCCTCTCTTTGATTTAACAAGTAATTAATGAATACATAAACCCTGAACCAAACTTTAATCTATCCCAGTGTCAAATAATTAATCATTCGTTCCACGTTTAATCCTGTTCTGATAAAGGTAATTAATATTTCACCATGACACTGCAGAATAGAACAGTACCTGGGAGCAGAGAAGGCAGCCTTCCATTTCTCCTTTGTTGTAATTCTGAAGTGATAGGTGCTTGCTCCCACTGACAGGTAATCCAGAACACAGTGTTCCCCCACAGCTGTAAATGAGAGTTTATGCTTGTCATCTATTGTGATTATAATGAAGCTTTTCTTGTTCTAACCAATTATTTTACAAAACAAAACAAGAGCAATAAACCCAAACCCAACAATATGAAAAATAAGACACCTGAACTTGGTCAATCATTTTTCTGACCTGACAATATTTGGGAAACCAGAGCTTGCACAAATGTTTTGGCCTATATAATGTCACTGAACATATGCTAGGGATGTGGATAGAGAACAAAGCTTGTGCAGATTGTCTGCTTCTGTCCACAGAGAGCTGTGCTGTGAGAAAAAGCAACTGGATGAAGATTTAAGTCCTAATTTTACTGCAGGAAAACACTGACATCTTTTTTGAAAGCTTGAAGTCTAATCAAGAAATGTGTTGATGTGCACAAAATTAAATTGAAGGAAATCCTATGTTGATTTTTCTCAGGGTGACACATCTCAGGTATCCACATATTTCAGCAAAGAGTTTCACAAGGAAGATTCTACAAGAAACAAATTGCCTTGGGATTCTGCTACCCAATTACTCAAAAATAGAGAGGCATACCTTCAGAGTCATCTCCTTGCTCAGCATTCTCCAGTAGGGCCACAAATTCTTCTCCCTAAACAAATGCTAAATATACTGTCATAATTTATTCTCACTCAAATGCAAGAAAAAACCTAAACCCAAACCCTTGGTCAAGAATACCAATTGTACTGACAAATTTTTACAAGAAATCCAGCTTGTGACACAAACCCCTCCCAGAGTCCTGTAGTGATGCTCACACAAAGACAGCTGAAACTTCTCCTTTTCCTAACATGCTATACCATGCCACTATCCCAGCTGTCATTAATCTAATTCTCCATTATGTCCCAAATCAGTAAGGAGAAAACTTTCAAGTGGGGGGGGTCTCTGGTGGAGTAGGACTAAATACACCCACATGAAACCAGGCAGTTTTAATTTTGGGACCTGTCAAGAGCTATTTTATCTGCAAACTAATTTGCACACTTGATAACAGCTTATCTGAGGTGACTGATATTTTTAACACCTAGATAGCAATTCTAGCCAATTATGCTGGACAGCATTTGCACAGTTACAGAGAACTTTGATTTAGGATCATGGTTCTATCAGCTGAGATGCATTTCAAAAGGATCTGTTTTCCATTAGCTCTAAATACTTTGAAGATGCACCTAACTTCTCACTACTTGAATAGAATCCACAGCTGTTAGGAACCTGAGTCATACTCCTTTCTCAGAGCACTTCTCAATGCTAAAATAAAACCTAAGTATCTGGTAAAGTGCTGGTTTTAGGTTTATAAGGAACACCTGACCTGATTAGGGACAATGAATCATAGAGGCAAATGTCCTGCTCCTGGCAGCAGCCAGCACCAGAAGCTTCAAAGGAACACTCTGGCCCCACAATAAAGCCTTAGCAATAGATTTTATTTTTGTGTTTCTTGATTGAGTCAACAGTTCTTTTGCACAGGAGACAACTTAAAAACTGATTGTCTATGCCACATCTTTAACTTGTGCTTGCAGCAGTGGGTGATATTTATACCCTTGTACCAATAGTCACACGGATTTGTTGGCCAGCTGCTGCACTGTCATTTCATTTCTGACTCCCACAAGGAAACCTTTTCCATATTCATGAACACTGCATTAATTTCTAAGATCCTGGAAACCCTCACTGAAGCTCTGTGTTATAATCCAATTGATTTTTTTATTGCTTAAGATCAACAAAGCCTTAATTCACTGCAGGAACAGCGTTGTGTGATATTTTGTATACATGCACACATAACATTATTTTTGCTATCACGTGGATTTTATTTCTACTCATTTATGCTAATTATTTTAAATGGGAAGGATTAAATTATTGATATATGTAAATGTACTATTCTACATCAGATTTTATGAGATTGCATTAGGAAGGGTTACTCTTGTAGAAAAAAACATATTTCTACTCTATAAGAAAACCAGTGCTAAATTGCAGTGGTAGCTATCAGCCAAGGCTAGACCCATTCATGCTAATATGACCTTCAATTAGTGAAGCAGACATCTCAAGACCCAGCTATTTTATCAGACACACAGTATAGGATGAGGAAATGTTGGTATCCTTGAAAAATTCTACTTTGAGGTGACCTTCTACTTAGCCAGGCTCATTATGCAAAACAAAAATAATTGTGCATCTTCCTCCTAGTCTCACTTAAGAAGGTTTTTGGCAAATTTCAAATTACAAATAATGATTTAACCCATAGATTTATGCTAATACATAGCAGCTCAGGCAGCACATGCATCCTGTACAGTTCCCCAGGGACACGGGTTTACAGTGTTTTCTTTTACTTAGCAGCAACAGATTTAAGCTTTTACTTAAAAAATAAACAACAACCACTACATATCCACTTAGGTCCAGATTTTTTAAATAGTAAATACCATTGTGACATCCTTAAATAGCAAAGAACTCGGTGGTCCCCCACAGTAGGTTTCTCACTGCAAAGTTATGCTGAAAATCTGGCTCACTTCAGTGCTTGAGTGGTTCAGACTTCTTTCATTCTTATTCAGAAATATGGCACCTTTGACATGGCAAACAAGTGAATATATATCATATTCAATTTGTAAGCTATAATATACTCAAAGATGGTTAAGGCTACTAAAAATATGTTTATTCTAGTCAGAAGGAAAATCAATGAAATCACTATGTGGAATATTCTCTAATTTTTATACGAGCCTTTTCAGCAACATGCTGTAGGCAACAAAGGAGTTCCATACAATGTTTATTTAAAAAAGAGTCACATATCTTTTAAACTAGGTATTAGAATACAGAGAATTAAACTAGAGAAAGATGCTTAAGTACCTAGATAGAAACAACAAACACAGGTAAAAGATTTTAAGGTTAATGGAAAATTCACTGTTAGGAAGCAACCACCAGGACTATGAACAGTGCAAAGTCCATGAGACTGGAAAGGATGGCAGATCTTCATAAGACCATTAAAAGGGAGAAGAACTGGTCAAATAAAGGGGGGCTTCCCAAAAAGGTCAAAGAATCGACAGGAATGGAGGGGAATATGTAATGAGACACAGCTGGTATATATTGCCATTACTTATTGAAGTCAGGTGAGACATAACAACCTAGATAATAGCTAAGGATTTGGCTGTGCAAAGCCATAGACAGGATGAGATAATAGACAGGTACAATGGGATCATGTTCTATTCTTGGTACAGGAGAGAGAATCTGAATAAACTTTCTTGTACAATATCTATACAATTCCCTTTAGTTTGCTGTCATATTCTGAGCACTGAAATATGTCACAATACTTACTTTTTTCTTTCCAAACTTGTCTTCTCTTCTGAAACTATTTTTATGTATTAGTCTTTGGCTGTGCCTGTATATATATATACACACAAACACACACATTTTTCCAGCACTCCTCCGGTCAGATGAGGATGTATATATATATATATATATATATATACAAACACACACATTTTTTCCAGCACTCCTCCAGTCAGATGAGGATGGAGACATTCCTGAGTCTTTCAGGAGTCTCATGCAGATCTTAGACAAGGGGGTTTGTTTGTTTGTTTGTTTGTAGTTTTGTTCTTGCTTGGCATTTTTGCGGGGGAGGGAGTAGGAGGACTTTTGTTGATTGGTTGGATTCAGGGAGGGAGGGTTTATTTATTTGGGTTTTTTTTTTCCTTTAGCTCTTTATTTGCCATTTTCTGCTTAGTTATTTGAAAATAAAGAGAGTTTTGAGCACAGTTTTATGGAGTGGGCTTAGCCAAACCGTTAGGCACACTGTCTGCTAGTTTTGAGTGGTTCTGAACATTGCACGCTTTCCCTAAACGAGATTAACAGCCATAGAAACGAGTCCTTGGAAATATTCTTGGTTTTGCCCCGTTTTCGTGAACCAATGCGACAGGCAGCCTGGAAAATGCCCCCTTTCCCCGGCTGGGGGGATCCCCCTTGTCTCTCCTAGGAGATTGGAAATATTCTTGGTTTTGCCCCGTTTTCGTGAACCAATGCGACAGGCAGCCTGGGAAATGCCCCTTTTCCCCCGGCTGGGAGATCTCTGGGCTGGAAGATCCCCCTTGTTCCTCCTAGGAGACCCCCTTTCCTCCTGCCTGGGGGATCGCTCCTTTCCCCGCTCTGTCCCGGGGCTGGGAATAGGAATTCCGGGGATCCCCGTATGCCCCCGTTTGCACCCCTTTCCCCCACAGTTTTCCCGTTCCCGCTCTGTCCCGGGGCTGGGCGCAAGAGGCATTCCGGGCCCGTTCCCTGTGTCCCGGGGCTGGGTGCAATAGGCATTCCGGGGATGCCCGGTTTCCGTTCCCGTTCCCTGTGTCCCGGGGCTGGGTGCAATAGGCATTCCGGGGATCCCCGTTTTCCCCGTTCCCGTTCCCGTTCCCGCCCTGTCCCGGCTCGGCGCTCCGCGGCCCGGGCGCGGCGGTTCCTGCAGCAGCAGCGCCACCTGCTGTCCCTTCCCGGCGCTGCTCCGGCCGTGCCCTGACCCGTGTCCAAATAACACCAAAGAAATATTTTATTTTATTTTACCTTTTCTCTTTTTTTTTTTTTTTAAATTTTTTTTTTCTAATCGGGGGCCAGGCCGGTCCCTCAGCGTGCCCTGCAAAGCCCCTGCTGGCCACGCGGGTCAGTAACATTTACGTGACATTTTCCAGTAGAGCAGTTGTAAAATCCTCACTTTCTCCACATTAGTGGAAAAGGATAAAACCAACAAAGAGGAAAGCCTGGTCCGATTCTGATGAAGTGCAGCCACTAAGGTAAACACTGCAGTGGAGGCTGTAAGCTTGCTCCCCAGAAACACCCCTACACTTCTGTTCGAGTGTCTCCAGGGGTAGGGTTGTGGTACAGGTAGGGCAGCACACCAGGACAGCACATTAACAAATGTGTAGCTGCATTTCCTTCAACATCATTTCTAAATCTTGTTTTTAAAAGAATAACTGATCTTCCAAGGTCATGTTCTGTCAATAGTTTAATTTACAACCAATTAAGCCACATTCACTGTTAATTTCACATGCACATACACAATTTGCTTGTTTGTATTAGTAGGTATGTGTTTAGGGGGATTTTTTAAGAGGAACTTCTGTTTTTTTTCTCTTCGCCACTGTTTGACAGAAGTCCTTCTGATGGTTTACAGAGCAGTGATGGCTTTTTTTTTTTTTCTCTTCACTACTGTTTGACAGAAGTCCTTCTGATGGCTTACAGAGCAGTGATGGCCCAAAAGGGCAGAACCTGAGAGACAGCCCCACAGATGAAGCTGCACAGATCTTTCATATATCAGATATTTGATTTATTTGGTGGGGGCAATTACTTGCTCTTGTCATTGATCTTTTTGCTCTTTTTTGTTATTGTTGTTGTGGTTGAGGTTTTGAGGGTGTTTTGGCTCTTTTTTTTTAAATTTAGATTGTTCTCCTAACATCGGCAATTACTTGCTCTTGTCATTGATCTTTTTGCTCTTTTTTGTTATTGTTGTTGTGGTTGAGGTTTTGAGGGTGTTTTGGCTTTTTTTTTAAAATTTAGATTGTTCTCATAACATGTGTAGTACAATATTTTTTGTATAAAAACAAAATCATACCTTGTACACAGGTAGTGAAAGCACTGATCTACTAGTGCAATGTATTTCTCAAAGTAGTTGG